CATGAGAATAAAGTAAAAAGAGCATTAATGAGAAATAGTGCAAATTTTTTTATCATTTGTCTAGGAGAGGAAGGCTCTATGTCTTATCTATTTCTTAAAATTCAGAGCAAGATGATTGTCATAGGACATGTATTAACATGATTACTTAAAAAATGAGAAACCTTCTCTGACAGAAAGTAATTTTATTTGGCTGATTATTTAACAACGAGGACTGACTTTGCCAGTAAGAACGTCACAGATGTTTTTCATAATTAAGTCTACAGCTCCAAGATGTTAATGAAAATATATCTGAAGTATATGATAAGGTAGAAGGATTTGATTTTTTAAATTGTCTTGGCAAAAGTATATTAAAATTAACATTTTTGCTTTCTGGATCCTTTGTGAGCATATCAATTTAAACAAGGTGTCTCTAAGTGGAAAAAATAGCAGATATAATTAATAATCATTTGATAAATCTCACAAAACTTTGTTGGTATAAACCCAGAAGCTAAGAACCTGAACGACACTTATGGCTGGGTAACAAATCCTTAACAGGTTGAGTGGTTCCCAAGTCTTTGGGTTCAAAAAAATTGAAGAAAGACCTAATTAAGTTGCCAGGTAATAGATCATTGAAAATAATTTTTCATGATAGATCATTATATACTTTTTAATCATATAACTCAGAGCTATTCAGAGAATTGGCTGACATTCCTATGATGAAATTCTCTTTCCCCATCTAATTTATGCAAATTAGGTTCACCAGAGCTTGCCTATAAAAATGAAAAATAGGAAGAGAATTAATGTTGATCTCAGTCTTATTCCAGCAATGAGTAATATTCATCCACAGACGTAATAATTACTTGGAAAAATTCAACCCCTCTAAAGTTCATTAAGAAATGTCTTTCCAATAAAGTTTTACTTTTCATGTTCAATAATTATTAATATTTAAAATAATACTTAAAATAACATAAAAATTCAAAATAATGTTTTGATCAACTGTGGACTAAGAATATTGTCATATTGTAATGATAATAAAATCCAGAAGAGGGACGCCTGGGTGGCTCAGCGGTTGGGCGCCTGCCTTGGGCTCAGGTCATGATCCCGAGATCCAGGATCAAGTCCCACATTGGGCTCCCTGAGAGGAGCCTGCTTCTTCCTCTGCCTGTGTCTCTGCCTCTCACTCAGTCTGTGTCTCTCATGAATAAATAAATATTAAAATATATATATATAAAATAAAATCCAGAAGAAATTTAACACTTAGAGCCCTATGGTCACAGGAAATAACTTTTTAAATTAGGGTCAGTTTTCATATACATTTTTGTTCCAGGTAAAAATGATCAATAAAGCATAAAATACAGCAGTATAAAATTCTCTGAGAAAAGTAGACTCAAAATATGAGTACTAGAAGAAAAATGACATTTTAAAACTTCCAACTGTTAACTGTTTTGTGCATTTTTAGTGGATGATTATAAATATCAAATTATTCTGAAATCTGGATTCTACTTGATACATTTAAAAGCCTGATACAGTGACGGTTGGGTGGCTCAGCGGTTGAGCACCTACCTGCCTTTGGCTCAGGGCACGAACCCACAGTGCCAGGATCGAGTCCCGCATCGGGCCCCCTGCATGGAGCCTGCTTCTCCCTCTGCCTGTGTCTCTGCCTCTCTCTCTCTGTGTCTCTCACGAATCAATAAATAAAGTCAATAAAATAAAATGAAATAAAATAAAATAAAATATAAAAAATAATAAATAAATAAATAAATAAATAAATAAATAAATAAATAAATAAATAAATAAAATAATAAAATAAAATAAAAGCCTGATACAGGGCAGCCCGGGTGGCTCAGTGGTTTAGCGCCACCTGCAGCCCAGGGCGTGATCCTGGAGACCCGGAATCGAGTCCCACCTCCGTCTCCCTGCATGGAGCCTGCTTCTCCCTCTGCCTGTGTCTCAGCCTCTCCCTCTCTTTCTCTGTGTCTCTCATGAATAAATAAATAAAATCTTTAAAAAAAATAAAGAAAAGCCTGATACAAGAGTTTTTAAATGTTAATATTTATGACCAGAGATCATATCTTTTGCACTATTTAAATTTAAGATTAAATATTTTAGATATCAACTTTAAAATGTAGGAGGGGACAGACCATAGTTTTTCAAAAAGTTTTGTCTAGTTGAGAATAAAGCGTGAAGACCACTGCCCAGAGAAAGAAGTGCCTTGGACATTGAATCACATGGATGTGTGTCCAGGAAGATGACAGGGACAGGTAGCCAAAGAAGCAGGCCCCAAACGATGGGGACAGAGGACCCTACTAGTCTGACTCCAAGCCTACTCTCTCCCAGAGCTTTCCCAAGTCCCTGCTCCTGGGATTTGCCCCACCAACCTCAGTGAGGAGTTCCCAAGGAGAGAAGGAAGAAATAGCCCAGAGGAAGTCATGCAGGCACGTAGCTGGCATGAACAACCGAGACGTGAGCTACTCCAGCTCCTCCAGGGAAAATTGTCAGCCCTTACTCTGCTCCAGAACCACAAGTCATCACTGAGCTGCTGGGCTGCCAAAGCTTAGGCTTGGTCCCCAGAGCAGCTGTTGCCTCAAGGTGACTCCGTGGCACTGTGCAAAAGCCTTTGAAGGAGCTGGGACCCCGCTGGACATCTGGAAGACATTATTCTGGGCCCCCAACACCGTTTAACTTAAAGCAGCAGCAACAGCAACTGAATGTCAGATCAGTGCCTCCATCTCATTCCTAATGCAGAAAATCTTATTTGTTCTGCTAAAATATAAACCCTTGGGGAGACTCTTTAGAGGCCAGAGATGTGGAAGACCATGAAATACTGCCACTGCAAAAATCACCACCCAATCCCAAAATTTGGATCTTGACAGAAAGGGAGTTGGAGTAGGACGTGCTTTAAGAAAAGCACCTGCTTCATGGGATGGCCATCTGCCTTCAGCAAACAAGAGGACTGACATTGGACCCTGGACCCCTCTTATCAGACCCACTTACTCCCAACCTCTAGGAGCCAGCAGCATTTTGGGACTCTAGACATCTAGACACTGGGGAGCGCTAAAGCCCCCTGCCAGGGGCACTGGTAGATCAGGGACACAGCAGGTTTTGCTGCCTTGCAGGAGCCATGCTCAATATGTCACTGTCCCTGAAGGGCTCCTCATGCCCATGCCACCATGGTAAGACTGACCCTGCTCTAGGCTGCAACCATCCTGGAGGCGTGGCTCACTGCTTTCCAGCTGCTGCACTGGATGAGTGAGGAAGACCCTCAACCCCTGGAGACTCCTCCTACAAGTCGTGCCCTGTCACCTAAAGTTAACTACTGACACCAACTCAGGCCTCTAACTGCCCTAACCCTCATCTCTGAGTCCCTCACCGGTGCACTGACACACTCTGGCCTCTAACCCCAATGTCAATAGAACCTGTTCTCCATACAGACAACAATTGTGGACAGTTTTTATGACTGATGTGAGGCAAAACCAGGTTTCTCAGAGCAGTTCCAGCTGCTTGTCTTCATCCCCAGGAGGGAGGAAACTGTCCTTCAGTCCTTCTGGGTCCTTTGCAGGCAGTGGAGGATAGACTCTTGTTCCATTTATCTTATACAAAGAGGGTATCAGGGGGACACCTGGGTGGCTCAGTGGTTGAGCGTCTGCCTTTGGCCCAGGGCGTGATCCCGGGAGTCCCATGTCAGGCTCCATGCATGGAGCCTGCCTATGTCTCTGCCTCTCTCTCTGTGTCTCTCATGAATAAATAAATAAAAATTTAAAAAAAGAGGGTATCAAAGTGGCCCAGGCATCTGTCCTAGGGCTGGCTGTCCTAGGAGCCCTCTAGACTCTTGGCTCAGGAGGCCCCTTCAGAACTCTCTGATCCTCAACTCTGCCTGCTGGATTGATTTTGCACAAACCCAGCTCTGAAACTCTGGATGGCTCCTCCCACTCAGTGCCTTCTGTGACCCAGGCCCAACCTGACCCTTGACTTGTCTCTCAATACATCCTCAGTAAAATAGATAGTTTATCTTTCCAAAGCCAACCCTATACCTTCCCTCCCCTGTGCCTTTGCTGGCTCGGTGTATTTTTTTTTTAATATTTTATTTATTCATGAGACAGAGAGAGAGAGAGAGAGGCAGAGACACAGGCAGGGGGAGAAGCAGGCTCCATGCAGGGAGCCTGATGCAGAACTGGATCCCAGGACTCCAGGATCATGCCCTTGGCTGAAGGCAGGCACTAAATGACTGAGCCACCCAGGTGTCCGGCTAAGTATATTCTAACTTAGATTGTTGCCATAAGAGGAATATAAGAGGGGGTGACAGTGCTCATTCCTCAACACTGGAGATGTGGGCACAGCTGCCCCATTCAGTTGACCAAAATGTTTAGAGCCATTTCCCTGGTGACCACAAGCTCCAAGAAGGAAATTGAGGTGGTTCAGAAGCTGGGTGCCACAGTGGGTTTGATTATAAGAAGGACTTCTCTGTAGGTGAACACCATGCAGGGTATGGATGTGTATGTTTCTACAGGGAAACATTTGAAGGGAAGGCCAAACTAATCTTATTCTCTGGCTCAACCCTTTGTGTCTTGGCCTACTTCTTCCTCTTCCAGAATCTTTTCCACTTTTCTCTCTTGTATTAGTTTATTATTAGTTTAGTGCCACCTTTGGTCCAGGGCCTGATCCTGGAGACCCGGGATCGAGTCACCCATGGGGCTCCCTGCGTGGAGCCTGCTTCTCCCTCTGCCTGTGTCTCTGCCTCCCTCTCTCTCTCTCTCTGTCTCTCATGAATGAATAAATAAAATCTTAAAAAAAAATTTTTTGTTTATTTAAGAGGGAGAGTGAGATCCCTAGGGAGAGGACGTTTTCTCTGCAGGCAGTGAGGGCTGAAACATGTCCTGCCGCCGGAAGAAAGACGGGTTTCCCAGGCCGAGAGAGAGAGAGAGAGAGAGAGAGAGAGAGAGAGAGAGAGAGAGAGAGAACGAACCTGATTCGCTGTCACTAACTTTGCATCTTAAAAGGGGAAGGAGGAGCAGGACGGGAGGTCGGTTCGGGCCAGTCCCACCGCTGGCACGCGGCCCCGAGCCCCGCCGTCCTTGGCGCTCGCAGCAGAGGCAGCCCCGGGGGCAGGGCTCTCCTCCAGGCGCCCGAGGGCCGCGAGCGCAGGACCGCGCCTCGGAAGCGGTGGAAGAGTGGGGCCCCAGTAAGTGTCCGGGAACCCACGCCCCGGCCGGTGGGGTGGGGTGGGGTGGGGTGGGGGTGGGGGTGGCTCCCAACTCCGAGGGAGCGCAGCTTGCCTCACGCTCTTCAGCGTCTCCCCGTCCGCTGCAGCCAAGCCGGGGGCTGTCCCCGTCCCACCGGCCCTAAGGACACCAGTCCTCGGCGAGGGATCTGTCCGCAAGCTGCAGGGACCTCGCAGGAAGGAGGGCGGGGCGCGGCGAGGGCCAGACCCTCTGGAGACCCGAAGGGAAGCCGCTGGCCGGCAGGGGGCGCTGCGCTCCGCCAAGAGCCTCGGGCTCCCTCCCTTGCCTCTAGGGTGTCCTCGGAGAACATGTTAGCTGTGCACTTCGACGAGCCGGGAGGACCCGAAAACCTTTACTTGAAGGAGGTGGCCAGGCCCAGCCCAGTAGAGGGCGAAGTCCTCCTGAAGGTGGCGGCCAGCGCCCTGAACCGAGCCGATTTACATCAGGTACCCAAGAGTCAGGCTGCGGCTGCGGCAGGGTGGGACTCCAGAGTCTTCTGTAAACATTCACCAGACGGGTGGAGGAATGACCTAGGGCACTGCCAGTAACACTCATCAAGACGTGTCTGCAGAATGTGTGCTGGGGCTTCTAAGACCACACACAGGGATAGTTACAAAGCAGCAGCCACCCTGTGCTAATCCATCATCCAGTCCGGCTTCCAGTTAAGGAGATGGGAACTACCATTTGCTGAGGGGGTTGTGGCTCTAGGCCTTGCTCTATCACATTTACCCCTCAGGCAACCCTGCTTACCATTCCAATAGGAATGAATAATAATTCAGATAAAGAAACCGAGGGGCGGAGGTTAAGCAATACGCCCAAGGCCACACAGGGCTGCTGTAATTCAAATCCAGGGCTTTGTGGTACAAAGTCTGCATTCTTTCCACTCTGAGGGGCCTGGAACTGGCAGGGGACTGTACTCTTCTGTTTTTTTGCTATTTGAAGTGCTAAACTGAGCCACCTGCATCAATTGGGGTAATTGAGAAATGTGTGCCAGAATCACCTGGGGCACTTTTCCAAAATAAGCATGACCAGAACCCAGGCATGTATACTCTGAAAAAGCTCCTCAAATGGTTCTAGTGCACACTCTTCGCTCACGTTCTCTTCTTCACTTTACTCTGAAGCCTCTAGTCAGAGGCTTCTGAGGATTGCAGTGAGTGAATACAAAGCCTGGCACTTAAATATATAAGAACTATCATTAAGGAGTTCACGGTTTTGTTCCTAGTCCGGCTACTAATTTACTTTGTGACCTTGGACAAGGCATTTCCCGGGGCAGGTTTCAGTTCCTCCATTTGTAAAACCAGGCATTTAGATAAAGTCAATAGCTAAGGACCCTCCCAATTCTGACATCCACTGATTATGTGACCTTCAGCGTCTTTTTTTTTTTTTTAAGATTTTATTTATCCATTCATAAGAGAACAGAGAGAGAGAGAGAGAGGGCAGAGACACAGGCAGAGGGAGAAGCAGGCTCCAGGCAGGGAGCCTAATGTGGGATTCAATCTCAGGTCTCCAGAATCACGCCCTGGGCCCTTTGGCGGCGCTAAACTGCTGAGCCACCCGGGCTGCCCCCGACCGTCAGCGTCTTATTTCAATTACTTTTCCTGTCTCTTTTCCTGACTTAAAAAACCTGACTTTATCCTGATTTTTCTGAGATAAAGGGGGGCTATTGGTAGAGGGTCAGGGATAGTGACATACACATTTCTGATCTTGCTCACCACTTAGTGCACCCCTTTTTGTGCAGAGACAAGGCCAATACGCCCCACCCCCAGGAGCCAGCAGCATTTTAGGACTGGAAGCATCTGGACACATAGCAGAGCTGGGGCCTGCCTGCAAGGGGCACTGGAAGATTGGGGACCCAGCCATGGTTCTGCTGCCCGGCGGGGGACAGGCTCAATATGTCACTGTCCCTGAAGAGCTCCTCATGCCCATCCCAGCGGGACTGACCCTATCCCAGGCTGCAGCCATCCCAGAGGCCTGGCTTACCGCCTTCCAGCTATTACATCTCTTGGGTGAGGAGGCCCCCCAAACTCACTCTATACAGTGTGGTTCAGTTACTTCATGACTCCCCCACCTCAAAACCCAGCAGTCCTCTGGGGCACCTTTGGGCTGGCCGCCAAGCCATACCCAAACCCAGCACCTCATTCTAATGTACTACTAGTAGTATCAGGCCCTCATACCATGTTAGCAATGGCCTGATGTTGAGGCTGAAAATCATGGTTAGCAGATAGAAAGCCTGGAAAGCACTGGATAGAAGGCATGTGCATATCTTCACATCATAGGCCCTCCAGTCATCCCAGCCACACAAAGTCCTGCTGGGCTTCTCTCTGGGAGCCCTAGTGCAGTAGAAGGGGCCAATCAACTTTTATTCCTCCCCAATCCCACTGAAGCCAGCCAGGGGCTAATAGGAGGGAACCTAAGATGATTTGTCCCTGCTGTCAGAGAGCTCAGTGAAACTGGGAAGACCAGGCATGCACAGGAACTAGACAACCACAGAGTTCAGAAGATGGCCTTGTTTCCAACTACAATAGAAAGTCAAGATGGGATCAGTTAGTGTGGCCACGGGTGGTCAGAGAGAGCTTTCTGGAAGAGGAGGACTGGAAGGATGGGTAAAATTGAGATGGACAGAAGACAGGCCAAGGTGGCTTAGGAGAGTGTCAAGGTGAAATCAGTTGCTCCACTCAGAAGGAAGGATGATTATTATCTGTGAAAGATGAGACTGGGACTGGCTTTTAGTGGCCTTGAATGGTACCTTGTCTGGACTTGATGCAAAAGCCCACCGAGAACCACTTTATATCTTGAGGAGAAAGTGAGATAACGAAAGCTCCATTTTAGGAAGAGAAGCCTGGTGATTGTGCGTGGTCCCTGGATCAGTGAGACCAGCTGGAGGCCAGTTTCAGACATAAGAGGAACTGGCTTCAGATGGTGACAGTGAGAATGGCGGTTATTCTTATTAAGATATATGTCAGAGATGCATGTCTCAGTGTTATTCCATAAATAAAACATACATTATGGATGTGGCTGCTTCCTATGGAGGAAGTATTTCAAAAGGTTGTTTCCCACTTTGACAAGAGGCAGGAAAACAATAAAGAGTTGTCATTATGCTCTCTTAAGAGAGCAAGAGATTTGGCATTTGGTGGGCCAGGGCAGGTGCATGTGCTATAATATGCCTGCATGGGGAATGTGTAGCACTTGTAAAGACAATGGTTCCTGTACTTTGTGTCACAGGAAACGTTCAGGCCGGAGACTCTGTGCTAATCCATGCCGGAGCAAGTGGTGTGGGCACAGCTGCCATCCAACTGGCCCGGATGGCTGGAGCTATTCCTCTAGTCACAGCTGGCTCCCAGCACAAGCTTCAGATGGCAGAAAAGCTTGGAGCAGCTGCTGGATTCAATTACAAAGAAGAGGATTTTTCTGAAGCAACACTGAAATTCACCAAAGGTAAACAATAGCTTCTGCAGACCAATAGGAATTTCAGAGATGATTAAATCAAACCCTCACCAGCCTGAAGTTTGCCAGTGGTCTGGATCTGTGTTGCCTCTGCTAAATGCACAGCAGCTGTCCTAGCCAAATTCTAGTACTCCGGTGTTTGATCTCTGGAGACAGGCAGGCACTGTTTAGGACTAAAATGTTGCTGTTTGCATTCTTGTAAGTGATCATTCATACACATTTTAGAGACCAAATGAATCACAAAGTGTTGGACTGGAATTATCCAAGACCTCTTCTTCCAAGTCATTCTGCAATGGGTTATCAGGAGTGTGGGGCAGAGACCAGTTTAGTGCTGGTCATAGTAGGGTTAGGATGGTAGCTCCCTAAATGGGTGAGCCTCTGCATTCCAAAGCCAAATCTGTATATTTTTGGCTCATCCCTTTCCATTTTTCCATGAGCCAAAAAGGAGAGATGAAACCAAAGCTAGCAAAACTATGTATCAGATAACCCAGTGCAGAAACTTCATAATTTTTTTAAGATTTTATTTATTCATGAGAGACAGAGAGAGAGGCAGAGACACAGGCAGAGGGAGAAGTAGGCTCCACGAAGGGAGCCCAACGTGGGACTCCATCCCGGGACTCCAGGATCAGGCCCTGGGCCAAAGGCAGGCGCTAAACTGCTGAGCCACCCGGGGATCCCAGAGACTTCATAATTTAGATGTGAACCCACCTGCCCAGTAGACTCCTGTTCTATTCTCATTCATGACTGGGTGCCAGTGGCTTCTGTACTTACAGAGGGATCAAGAGAGATATCAGGTCATGGTATTGCCCCATTTCCCCCTTGTTGTGGCTAGGAATCATAAAAGATGAACTGTATAGCACACATGTATGATAGAGTTCAGCTACCTAAACTCCATCAGCAACAACGTTTCTATGAGCAATGTTTCTATTTCCAACTTATAGATATACCATTTGCACCTGTCTGTATACCCATATATTCACAAATGTACCCTGGAATCTTATTTTGCACAAAGCATTCTGTGTCTGACGAGCATTACAAATCTGTGTTTTGTATGAAAGGTGCTGGAGTCAACCTTATTCTAGACTGCATAGGTGGATCCTACTGGGAGAAAAACGTCAACTGCCTGGCTCTTGATGGTCGCTGGATTCTCTATGGCCTGATGGGAGGAACGGACATCAGTGGACCTCTATTTTCAAAGCTACTTTTTAAACGAGGAAGTCTGATCACCACTCTGCTGAGATCTAGGGACAAAAAGGTAAATGAGTAAAAAGGAAACATGCAATTTAATTATTACCCACAAAAGTGTGATGTGTTTACATAGCTGCAAGAAAGGAAGATTTCACACATCTTAATGTTAGAGAGCCTATGTAGAACACCCCCCCCCCTTTGGATAAATAAGTAACCATTTTCACAGAACTAATTAAAAGTGGTCCATAGAAGTCTCAACATCTCAGAAAGAAGGTAGCTAATACTTCATATGTTTTTTAAACTTTCTAACAGAATGAAAAAAGCATTGACAATATTAGGAGATACTCCTAATAGTGCCAAGATGTTGCCTTCAAAGGCAGAACTCAGTGTGATTTAAAAAAAAGCCTCTTAGGTGAGTAAGGTTAAGGTTCTACCTTCAACAGGTTACATGTTATTGAAATCTGTGTGGTACTCTAGCAGGTGCTAGATTGGGGGATGTTTCCCAGCCTCGGGTTTCACACCCGTGGGACCTCAGAGCTTAAACATCCCTTTTGAACTCAGCTTGCATAAGTCCTGTCTGTGGTCACCCCCTGCTTTACATTTTAATATTTTAGTCCAGGATTCAGTCTTTCTCCGGTACAGAAGTGAGGTTCTACATTTGGGGGCATGCACAGCGTGCTGGTGGTGAAGGGGTTAGGTGCTGCCTGTGCGCATTTTCAGCTGTGTCCACGGTTCAGAGAGCGCACAAAGGCCAAGCGGGGCGGGGAGCGGCAGTTAGGGCCCTGCCTGGACTGATGGCCTCCTTTTCCTGATCTAAGTACAAGCAGACGCTGGTGGAGGCTTTCACAGAACACATCCTGCCCCACTTCTCCACGGAGAGCCCCCAACGTCTACTGCCGGTGCTGGACAGGGTGTACCCCGTGACTGCAATCCAGGAGGCCCACGCGTACATGGAGAGTAACCAGAACGTGGGCAAGATCGTCCTGCAGCTGCCTCGGTGAAGGAGGCCCTGGAGAAAGCCCACGGTCCGCAGGAAGGAGATCAGACCGGGCGCGACCGCAGGCCGCCCCGGAACCCACTGGCCCACCTAAAGCCCATCTAAGGAAATAAAGAGTAGACGCGAAGGGCGGCCGTCTCACTGTGGCAGCCCCCGACCGCGAACTGAGGCCGCCGGGGGGCGGGGCGGGGCGGGGCGGGGAGGCGGGAGGCGGGGCCGCCGGCGCCGCTGGGACAACTGCAAAGCCCCGAGCAGTGGGGGCGCTACCGGGCGGGCAGTTCCGGCTGCGGGAACAGCGCAGGCCACCACCCCGAGGCTCCGCCGGGCGCACCTGCTCGAGGCCCGGGCCGCTAGGGCCAGGCCCCGCCCTCCCGCCGCCCACCTGGGCGCAGCCCCGCCCCCCTCATACGCCCCGCCCCCTCCGGCCCGCTTCCTTCTCAGGGCCGCCCCGGCCGGATCACCGCCCCTCCTTAAAGCCCACGCCCCGCCCCTTCCGGTGCAGTGCTCGTCCAGGCGTCTCGAGTCCTCGCGTCTTCCGTCTCTCCGGCCTCTTTTTTTCCCCCTCGGGTTCGTTTTGCCCCGGAGTCTTTTCGACGGGGGCTATTACGTCAGCACGTCTCGGCGTGGCGCGGCGATAATCCGACGCGATGTAAAGCTTCCGGCGGAGGTTGGAGGTGGATGCCCCGGGCTTGACGCGGTGTCGCGGTGCAGTGGGGCGCGCTCCGGAGCTCTCCGGAGGAATTCCGGTCTTTGTGGCAGTAACCTCATCAGCCCGCCAAGATGGCTATGCAAGCGGCCAAGAGGGCGAACGTGAGTATCGGGACCTTCTGCCGAAGAGGGGGAGGGTGTCGCTGCTGGAGTCTTCACGGCGTGGGGCTGTATTTTGCCCGTCCTGGGTTCTGCAGGCCGGAGTGGCCCAGAATTTGTTGTGTTCTCACTGGGGTTCCACCCTGGCCCCGTCCTTAGGACATGCTCCTAGAGCCGCAACTCCGCCTCAGCCCCTTGTGAGCGTCTCCTCGGGCTCTTATTCTGGTGTCCGTGATAGTGTTAGCCCTACTACAGCCTTTGTTGCTTGCTGGGCCACCTAGGACCAGGCGACAGAATCTTCTCCGCCCAAGTCAGTAACACAGACGAGTCCCCTGTAAATAACCTTACAGCTCACAGGCAACCAGAGCCTGAGATTCTCCTCAAGTCACGGAGCTTTTGGGGGCCCTTCACTAATGCCGTGGCAGTATTATTGAGCACCTGCTATGTACCAGAATTGCGAGATAGGAAACAGTTCAGAAGTTGAATTTATCGAACTGCTGTATGCCTGACAATAGTCTATATATTGGGGATACGACAGTGAATAAAACAAAAAGCCCTGCTGTGTACATTCTAATGTTAGAGGATGGGGTATTATTACAGAAACCTAAGAAAAACTGTCTCAGGGAAAAGAGGGTAGGTCAGCTGTAAGGCTGAGAGGTATAGGATGATGAAGACAGAAAATCGGACAGGAGATGCAGAATTTTGGTGATCTGGGTAAAAAAACTTGGTTGCAGTGGGATGAAAAGAGAATGGCAGTTAAGAAAATGGAGACCGCTCTTTCTACAAGTTTTCATGTAAATAGAGAGTAAAGAGATCGAGATGCCCGGGTGGCTCAGCAGTTTAGCGCCGCCTTCCGCCCTCGGGGTGATCCTTGGGTCCCGGGGTCGAGTCCCACATCCGGCTCCCTGCATGGAGCCTGCTTCTCCCTCTGCCTGTGTCTCTGCGCCTCTCTCTGTCTCTCTCTCTCTCATGAAAAAAATAGAATCTTTAAAAAAAAAGAGTAGAGTGATTGGATGACAGTTCACTTTTTCCTTTTTTTAAAAATGTGTGATAAAAGGTGTATTTGTAGGTAAGTGAGAATGATCCAGTAGAGTGGGAGAAATTGATGATGTGGGAGAAAGGAGTTAAGTTCAGGAGTGAAGGTTCCAGGTAGATGAAGGTGGGCATAATAATGGGAGGGAGAGGGGGTAGATATGGATGAATTTAGATTAGTAGTAGATTTAGTGAGATGAATATAAGGTACTTACCATTTGGTTACATGTATTTTTTCAATAAGCAAGAGGCAAGATCAACTCCTGGGATAGGCAGGTAAGAGGTGACGGCTCAACTCGGTGTGGTGGTGGTAAGGTTTGAGGAAAGAAGAGAAAATACAATACAGTGTCTTGCAGAGTGAGAAAGCAGGCTTGGGAGGTAAGGGTATTATAATTGGAAGTGTTTGTGTATTTGAACTCAGTCTGAAATCTTAAATCTAAAACTTTTGGTACTTATTTGTTGACCATTTGTCACCACTACTAGTTTGAGGGCAGGGAATAAGTATCCTTTTTCCTTTTATACAACATTTAGCTTTTAATGCCTGAAATAGCTGCCAGTTTAAGAATTATTGAGCAAATTAATGCCCAGTATGTAATTGAATATGTTTTTTTTTTTTTTTTAAAGAAAGCAGTTCTTTTTTTTTTTTTAATTTTTATTTATTTATGATAGTCACAGAGAGAGAGAGAGGGGCAGAGACACAGGCAGAGGGAGAAGCAGGCTCCATGCACCGGGAGCCCGATGTGGGATTTGATCCCGGGTCTCCAGGATCGCGCCCTGGGCCAAAGGCAGGCGCCAAACCGCTGCGCCACCCAGGGATCCCTGTAATTGAATATGTTAAAAAGAACATAGGTGTGAACTCTGGATGGGAGATACGTATTTGAGAGTCATCAACTTACTGTGGGAACCATGTGTGTGGTTAAGAGATCAAAGAGAGTGTAGAATTAAGGAGAGTATATGGGATCCCTGGGTGGCGCAGCGGTTTGGCACCTGCCTTTGGCCCAGGGCACCATCCTGGAGACCCGGGATCGAATCCCAAGTCGGGCTCCCGGTGCATGGAGCCTGCTTCTCCCTCTGCCTGTGTCTCTGCCTCTCTCTCTCTCTCTGTGACTATCATAAATAAATAAAAATTTTTTAAAAAAAGGAGAGTATACAAAGGGTCAAAAAGGAGTCAAAAATAAAACTGTGAAAGGCCATATTGTAATGGCAAAGAAGAGGGAGAACTACCCAGAAAGTTAGGAGGAAGCCAAGGAAATAGTGTCAAGAAGAGTCAAGGAGGTAATAGTCAGCAGTATCAGAATCCTCAGAAGGGAAGTGTGATGATAATTGAACAGTGTGACCGAAAGGTCTTAGTGCCGGGGCTCTGGGTGGCTCAGTCGGTTATGTGTCCAACTCTTGGTTTTGGCTCCAAATTTGATCTCAGGGTTGTGGGATCCAGACCCATTTTGGGCTCCTTGCTCAGCGTGGAGTCTGCTTGAGATTCTCTCCCTCTGCCCCTCCCCATGCCTGTCTCTCTCTAAAATGAATACATTTTTAAAGGCCTTAGCATAAAAATATTTTCTTCAGTGCTGGGGTGGAAGCTGGGTTGTGGTAGGTTGGTGTCAGTAAAGAATATGAGGTAAGTGAGTATAGACTTTAGCTTTCCAGACACTTGACTGAAAGAAGAAAAAAAGCAAAACTTATCAGGGAAGACAAAAACATTGTTTTTTTCCTTCACTGTGTAATCCTAATGCCTCGCCTGATAGATGAATAAAGAAGGTACTCAGTAAATATTTGTTGAATGAAGGAAAGGAGATCCAAATAACTATTTTGTTTTGTATAACAATTGTCAGGATATAAACAGCTACTCACCTAAGGAATAAAAGCCAATGATGAAGGAGAGACTATATTCAAGAGAAAGAAGATATCATTGATATAACAGTTTCTTGAGAAGACCTGATAAGAGTCATCAATGGGAGTTTTATGTCTAGGAAACAGGAACAGTTCCCTTTGTTCTTTCCCATATATGTCTAAAGCATTGAGGACTTTTAAATGAGGTTGGAAATCCTGTTTAACTATAGAGCCTGGAAGCCTGGGTTTTATGTAGCCCCTTACTAGTTGCTACTAATAGTCTTCCCTAAAACTAGTGCCCAGTGGGATCCCTGGGTGGCGCAGCGGTTTGGTGCCTTTGGCCCAGGGCGCGATCCTGGAGACCTGGGATTGAATCCCACATCAGGCTCCTGGTGCATGGAGCCTGCTTCTCCCTCTGCCTATGTCTCTGCCTCTCTCTCTCTCTGTGACTCTCATAAAATTAAAAAAAAAAAAAAAAAAAAAAAAAAACTAGTGCCCAGTTGCTTTTCTGAAAACCATGCTATTTTCAGGAATATCAGATTATATAATTTTTTAAAATAATTCTTATTCTTGACTCTTAGGTGGATTTTTTGTTGTTGTTTTTACTGTGAGAATTTATTATGAGAATTTTTTTTTTTTTAAGGTCGTAGCACTCCTGGCCCTGATTACAATAATAGTATGTATTTCTCATTTTAGATTCGACTTCCACCCGAAGTAAATCGGATTTTATATATAAGAAATTTGCCATACAAAATCACAGCTGAAGAAATGTATGATATATTTGGGAAATATGGACCTATTCGTCAGATCCGAGTGTGAGTCTTACTGAGACTTTTGAAATGTTGTTTCAAAGAAATGATTGTATAATCTTAGAATTATAGCTGACATGCACCTATGACAAAAAAAGAGAAAGAAAGAAAGAAAGAAAGAAAAGAAAAAGAAAGAAAGAAAGATTATAGCTGTAAGCAAGGCCTAACCAAGCCCAGAGACTAAATAGATTGAAATATGGGAGATGAGAATATTTTTGTGTGGAAACAAATGAGACCCTCCTGATCTTGCTCAGTGACAGCCAACAGTCGTAGTTGTGAAATTAGAGAAGGCATGAAGTAGTAATGAAAGGTTTGAAGGGAATGGGTGAGCAAGGAAAGAACTAACATTTATTACATCACTATTATTTGTAAAGTCAGATATATAGTACTGTGTTTTTTATATGTATCAACTCTTAATTTGCTTTGCTATCGCCTGATTCCAGAATATCTGAATAAACTAAGAAAGTATACAAGTAACTGAGAAAAGTGAATTTTTTTCCAACTGCAGCTTTCTATTGAAGATTTGTTTTTTATTCCCTTTTTTTCTTTTGAAAATTTAAAGGTATATGGGAGAATAATTGCAACACAAGTTCAGGTTTTAATTTAATATAAAAACTGGGGTTTGTATCTTCAGATAATATTTATTGAACATCTACAAAATGCCAGTTATAATAGGTGTTTTTATTTGTATCACCAACAAGACAGCCCTGTGTGGAGGTGATAATTGTCTGGGTTTTGCTTTCTTTTGTTTAAAGATTTATTATACGAGAGAGAGAGAGAGAGAGAGAAAGCAATCAAACATGGGAGCAGGGGAGGGGGACAAAAGGAGAGGAAGAGAGAATCCTCAAGCAGACTTCCTGCTGAGCACAGAGTCCAACACGGGGCTTGATCCTAAGACCCTGAGATCATGACCTGAGCTGAAACCAAGGATTGGACACTTAACTGACCAAGCCACCCAGGCACCCCAATAATTTGTTTTACAGGTGAGACTACCAAGGCTCAGAGAGTACAAGTACCTTTCTAGGTTCACACAGCGATTTAATGATAAAATCTTCTGATTCTAAATTATTTACACTACACAAATTCATAGCCACTGACACTGTAGTTAGTATGATGGGCCACTTACATAAGAGTTCATCTGGAAGGATTTCTTTTTTTCTTTAAGTTTTTTTTTTTTTTTTTTTTTTTTAGTTTTATTAATCTCTACACCCAACATGGAGTCTTGAACCCAAGAGTTGAGAGATCAAGAGTTGCCCACTTCCCCTACTGAGGCACCCCTAAGTATCTAAGTATCTTTTTTTTTTTTTTTTAAAAGAGAGAGTGAGCGAGTGTGTGTGCACGCACAAGTGGGAGGGGCAGAGGGAGAGAGAATCCTCTAGCAGACTCTGCATTGAGTGCAGAGCCCAACACAGGGCTTTATCTCATGACTCTGAGATCATGACCTGAGCTAAGACAAAGAGTTGGACACTTAGCCAATTGAGCCACCCAGGCGCTCCTGAATATCTCTTAATTTTCTTTTATGACCTGAGAGCTTCTTGGCTTTTAGAACTCAGATCTTGAGGACTCTCCTTTTAAGTCATAATTTTCCCTCCAGAGAGTAAACCAAATGGTAGCAATACATCATCACTGGTACTTAAGTGGGAATGGAAATGAAGTGTTATAGACCAGCCATCCTCTTTAGGGAGTCTCAGTCTTTGATAAAAGCTTTGGACTCTTTCCACAGAACAGTACACAAAACATTTTGCAGATGATTTCATGGGTATATTAAACACAGGTTAAGAAACCTTGTTCTAGACATCGAAGAATGGTATACAGAAGGTCCCCTGACTTGGAGATCAGGAGATAAGATTCTGCTTCAGGCCCTGCAACCCTAGACAACTTGTTGGTTTTTGGTTTTCTGTTCCCTCACATGTAAGATAATCTAGATAGACCATGCCTTTCAGCTTTTAACGTGGAGGCAGTATGATAAATTTACTGACTTGGTTGTAAGACCTAAGTTCAAATACTAGCTGGACATTTGCTAGTCCTATACAACTGGGCAAAATATTTAATCCCTCTGAGCTTCAAATTACTCATGAAACACAATCTTCCTAACCTGTCTTAAAAGAATTTTAGTAAGGATCAAATTAGATCATGCCTGTGAAAGCACTTTGTTATGGAATATTTTCTTGCTGGTGTGCATTAGCCACCACTCTATGCTCCCACAGCACCTTCTGTGAACATCTTTTAGCACACCTTTTTGCTGTTGTCTGTGTGCTTATCTCCTCCCAGCCTGTGAGCTCCTCCAGGACAGGTGCCTGTCTTTTCATTTGGGGTTGACAGCTGTGGTGCCTAATACATGGTAAGCACCTCATGTATATAAATAAATGAATAATACACAAAATGGTTTTGATCGACTTATGGAAGTGTTATAAAACTTATTGCTAGTACACAATTAAGAGATGCTTATGTCAGTGAAGTTAGAACGTGTTTCAGAAAGCCAAGGTAGAAGGATAGAAAATCAAGCAGTGGCATCTTTAGAAGGGTACAGAGTAGCTCAGGCCTTTGTACACTGATCCCTCCATTTGGAACAGTTTTCACCTGGCTCATCTCCTATCTGGCTCCTCATTTGTCATGTCTCCACTTGTGTCACCTTTTCAGAGGTTTATCCTGACCACCTGAGCTTTAGGTCATCCTTGGCCTCCCAGTAATCTCTGCCACAGCTGTCTACTTCCTTTATAATATTTCTCATCTGTATTTATCTTTCTCCCACTTGGATAAAGTTCCTTGAAGGGAGGGATGATGCTTGTCTTTTTCACTATCCTTTTCCAGTGCCTGTCATACAGAAGGAACACAATATTATATTTGTTGAATAAATTCATAAAAGTTTGGTGTGCGGGAATTTAGGTCTAAGTTATAGATGGAGAAACAGGTGTGTTTTTGCTCCCTAGCTGTGATCATGCTTTATCACATATTTAGCCCCTAGAACTAGGGTGACCAACCTTCCCAGTTTGTCCAGGACCAAGGGGTTTTCTGAGATACAGACTTTCATGCTAAAACCTGGACATTCTTAAACAAACTGTGATAAGTGATGACCCTTCCTGATATATATATAGCAGACACTTGGTGCTTGGAACTTTTTAAAACCCTTTCATACCTTTTACCTCTTTTGATTATTCAAACATGTAAAATGTAGGGCAAGTGATAGATCCTGATACTGCTATTTGACACATTAAGCAGCCGAAGCCTAGAGAGGTTAATGCACATGATTAGGCAAATCTTTAAAAAAAAAAAAAGATATTGGCTGCTGGGACACTTTTGATATGAGAATCTTTAAAATGGGATCAGTGGGGTAGGCAGCCCAGGTGGCTCAGTGGTTTAGCACCACCTTCAGCCCAGGGTGTGGTCCTGGAGTTCCAGGATCAAGTCCCACATCAGGCTCCCTACCTGGAGCCTGCTTCTCACTCTGCCTGTGTCTCTGCCTCTCTCTCTGTGTTTCTCATGAATAAATAAATTTTAAAAATCTTTTAAAAAATAATAAAATGGGCTTAGTGCCCATCCCTATTCTAGTTCCTAAGAAGATGTAAGAAAGAGATACTTTTGTTTTGGATTTTTTTTTTTAAGCTTCCAGGAGAAAGGATGTGTGAGAGAATTCGTGGGAGAAAGTATATCTCCACTATTCTCTCTCTCTTTTTTTTTTTTTTAAGATTTATATTTATTTTATTCATGAAAGACAGAGAGAGAGAGGCAGAGGGAGAAACAAGTTCCATGAAGGGAGCCCGACGTGGGACTCGATCCCGGGTCTCCAGGATCACGCCCTGGGCTGAAGGTGGCGCTAAACCGCTGAGCCACTGGAGCTGCCCAGATCTCCACTTTTCAAATGCTTATTAGCACTTGTGTGCATGGTGCTATGAGAGAAAAATGAAATATATAAGACCTTCCTTGCCCAGTAATAAAAACTAAAATGGGCAGCCTGGGTGGCTCAGTGGTTTAGTGCTGCCTTCAGCCCAGGATGTGATCCTGGAGACGCGGGATCGAGTCCCACATTGGGCTCCCTGCATGGAGCCTGCTTCTCCCTCTGCCTGTGTCTCTGCCTCTCTCTCTCTCTTTCTCTCTGTCTCATGAATAAATAAAATCTTTTTAAAAAATATATTTTTAAAAAATAAAAATAAAAACTAAAATATTATTAAGTTTAAACTTAAAATAAAATGTCATGTTTTTATTCCAAAGGAGAAATAGGTAGGCTTTTTTTTTTTTTTTTTTTTTTTTTAAATATAGGTAGGCTTTTTGGCAAAGTCTTTGGGGCAGTGTTTTTTTTATTTGGGTAATCTCCAAATTTCATAGCTAATGCACTCTTGAAAATTAAAAGTCAAAAGTCCAGAAGTTGGGGTGTCTGTCTGGCTCAGTAGGAAGAACACACAACTCTTGATCTTGGGGTTTGAGCTCCATGTTGGGTGTAGAGATTAAAGTCCAAAAGTTGTTAGACTATTCCCTGCGAGTAAGGAATATTATAAAATCCCTCATTGGGCCCATTCAGCCTGATAGCCTGTAAGCTTTCAAGGACATTGGCACCTCCTGACCACCCCACCACCCTGTACCTCTCTCAGCCCCTTTTACAAGAAGCATAGCTCTGACCAGGGCCCAACACTAGTCCTGTCATGGATCAAATTTAACAGATACCTCCCCTTCCCATGGCCTACTGCCTTTGCTTGACCCTATGTAGGAACTATGGCAGATGGAGGGGCAGCCCACGGTCTTAAACCTTACTCCACAGTTGGCACTGAGTGACTAGAACACAGATGGAGGGGTCCATCTTTATCACACTGGGAGCATAAGCTGAGTGGGACCTGTGCCCACTGCCCCCACTGACAAGCACTTGGCCATCTGCTGCCTGCAGTTTGTTGCTCTTCACACTTCCCTACCTCCCTGTGGAAGGAAGCTGGTGAGGTGAAGAGAGGAGGTGGCAAGGAAAACCTACACAAGGAGCAGCTCAGTATCCACAAGCAAGGTCCAGTTTCCACTTCTAGCAACCTGCCCTGGCCTGCAGATAACCCCACCCCTTCCCTGCACAATCCCTTCCACGCATCTCTGTCAAAGCTCAGCCCTTCTCCCAAGCCAAACAGACCTGTGTAATGCATGGGAGTGCATATATTAAAAATGAATGTATGAAAAGTTGAGAGCTGACCATACCACATTTTAGAAAAGCAGTGAGTCTTCTGTGGGAGAAACTGCATTAACTCTTTATATCCTTTCCTGGCCATAAAGATAATGGTTGGCTGATTTCCTAGATATCACTTACTATTTTGCCATCATCTTGGTAGCGGCTTCCACCCCACCCCCTCTAGAGATACAAAATAGGTTTTATTTTTATGGATTTGATAAACCTTAGTAAAATACTGCTGAGAAATAATTATTTCCAGGGCACCTGGGTGGCTCAGGTCATGATCCTGGGGTCCTGGGACCAAGTCCCACATCAGATTCCCTGCAGGGAGGCTGCTTCTCCCTCTGTCTATGTCTCTGCCTCTCTCTCTGTGTGTCTCTCATGAATAAATAAAATGTTTTTTTGGGATGCCTGGGTGGCTTAGCGATTAAGCATCTGCCTTTGGCTCAGGGTGTGATCCTGGAGTCCTGGGATCGAGTCCCACATCGGGCTCACTGCATGGAGCCTACTTCTTCTGTATGTCTCTGCCTCTCTGTGTGTGTCTCTCATGAATAAATAAAATATTTTAAAAATATATTTTTTTAAAAAAAGAAACATTTCCTACATTGATGGAGACTGTCTTGTTTTTAACAATTAAAACTAAAATTAGAGGTAGGGAAGGGTGCCTGGCTGGCTCAGTTGGTGGAGCACGTGATTCTTGATCTTGGTCATGCATTCTAGCCTCACATTGAGTGTAGAGATTGCTTAAAAATAAAATATTAAAATTTTAGGGGATCCCTGGGTTGCTCAGTGGTTTAGCGTCTGCCTTTGGCCCAGGGCGCAATCCTGGAGTCCTGGGATCGAGTCCTACGTCGGGCTCCTGGCATGGAGCCTGCTTCTCCCTCCTGTGTCTCTGCCTCTCTCTCTCTCTCTTTCTCTCTATGTCTATCATTCATAGATAGATAGATAGATAGATAGATAGATAGATAGATAGATAGATAGATAGATCTTTAAAAAAATAAAGTAAAACATTAAAATTTTAGAGTGAGGGAGGGCAGCCCCAGTGGCTCAGTGGTTTAGCATCGCCTTCAGCCCAGGGCCTGATCCTGGAGACCCGAGGTCAAGTCCCATGTCAGTCTCCCTGCATGGAGCCTGCTTCTCCTCTGCCTGTGTCTCTCCCTCTCTCTCTTTCTCTCTCTCTCTCTCTCTCTCTCATGAATGGATGAATAAAATCTCTAAAAAAATTATAGTGAGAGAGAAAATTTAAATCTTTAGAAACAAGGGACTAGTTACCAGGTAATAGTATGGTAAATAATTTAAGTATTGGTTCTGTTGCATAAATGTGCAGTAAGAAAAACCTCATTCTAGACATTGCTGACTTTTACAAGCCATCTCTCCAAAATACTATCTTGCCAGCTTAAGATTGAGAATTGGAGGCACCTGGGTGGCTCAGTTAAATGTCTGCCTTTGGCTCAGTAATGATCTCTGGGTCCTAGGATTGAGGCCCATTCAGGCTCCTTGCTCAGTGGGGAGTCTGCTTCCTCTCCTTCTGCCCCCCCACCTCTTCATTTGTACACTCAAATAAATAGATAAAATCTTAAAAAAAAAAAAAGACTGAGAATTGGTTCTTAGCGTGAGAAGTAGGAAGGACTAGAACAGTAAATATGAAGACTCAGACAAAGTTTCAAGCTAGTTGTTTGCAGCTAGTGCTTTGGTAGCTGTAGTAGTCATCTTGACACAGAGCAAGTTTAACCTGTAGCTCTTTTACTTAAAAAAGACAACAAAAATTACCTCAATTCAAGAAATAGTAGGCTTATCCAGCATACCTATCCATAATGCTTACTTATTTCCTCTAACAGTGTTCAGGTTGATCTCAAAATATAAACTTCACTTACTGTCTTTTAAAGACAATTCTGTTATTTAACTATCAGTGCTCTGGTAAATGTGTATTTTTTTCCGCAGATTTGTTAGTTGTTTATTTATAAAGAGAAACTATTCCATAGCTCAGCATTCATAGTTCAGGAACACAGGTCAGGGACAAATTTCCATGGAACTCAATCCAAAGAAATTCTTTACATTCCAAAATCACTTTGCACTCTGGAAGATACCAGCCTTTTCATCTCCTCAAACTCTTTCATGGAATCATTTCTGTAGAAATCTGCATATCCTCCTTTCTTGGTTTGACCACAGGAAACTTCTAGAAAACTGCAACCCTCAGGGAATGCTCCAACAATATGAAATTGCAGATGCTTGGCCAGAAGGCCTCACATCTGAGGTTTCATCAAAGCACTGGAGGTCATGGTAGTTATTCTCCTCAACACTCCACCTCAAACCCAGCCAGCATCCTTCCTATCTTGAATAAATGTGTATTTTAATTAAGTCTGATTTCACTCCGCAGGGGGAACACACCTGAAACTAGAGGAACAGCTTATGTGGTCTATGAAGACATCTTTGATGCCAAGAATGCATGTGATCACCTTTCAGGATTCAATGTTTGTAACAGATACCTGGTGGTTTTGTACTATAATGCCAACAGGGTAAGTATTAGCCACAGTCCTCATTGCAGGGGGAGCATGTTAAGAATTAATATACCGGGAAAGGAAGAATTACTAGGAATACTAGTATTCTTGAGAATACTAGGAATTCTTGTCTGGCTAGTGCTATTGGTGAAACTCATTTGATTATAGATCAGTAACTGTTAACTTTGGTGCTTACCACATTTCAGGCATTTCAGAAGATGGACACAAAGAAGAAGGAAGAACAGTTGAAGCTTCTCAAGGAGAAATATGGCATCAACACAGATCCACCAAAATAAATATTTTCTGCATTTTCATTTTAGACTACATCCCATAAATGATTACCATCACCCTTTTCTTGTTTTTAATTAATGCTGAATGTTGTGATTTCTTATTCAAGATTCAAAAGGACCTACTTAAAACTTTGATACATTTTAGAATATGTTATGTGAATAAACTTGTAGCTTTTTGTAAAACTTGTAGCTTTTTGTAAAACATGTCAGTGTTTTCTCTTAAGCTTCCTCTCATTTGATACCAGAAAATAAATTAGCAGTCGAACTGTATCAAGAATTGTTTGGTGGTAGTGACACCTGGGTGGCTCAGTGGTTGAGCGTCTGCCTTCGGCTCAGGGTGTGATCCTGGAGTTCCAGGATTGAGTCCCACATCAGGCTCCCTGCATGGAGCCTGCTTCTCCCTCTACCTGTGTCTCAGCCTCTCTCTCTCTCTCTCTCTCTCTCTCTCTCTCTCTGTCTCTCATCAATAAACAAAAGTACAATCTTTAAAAAAAAAAAAAATTGGTGGTAGGTGGTCACAGAGACCATGCTTCTTAAGAGCAGGGAACTTTTTATATTCTTAATGCCTCTGATGTCCAGTCTAGTGCTTAGCCATCAAGGGAAATTTTTAGAGTGCTATCATTTGTTGAATGTTAACAACTCAGTGAAGGTATTTTGCAGATAAGGAAACCAAAGCTCATTGTATTGGTTGGATGAATAAAATGTTTACATAGAAAGTTGCTGTAACATCAACCAGTATTAACCACATCAATATATTTAAATAATAATTGCCTTACAGTTAACAAAACACCTTTGTCAATATGAATACCCCATCCTTAAAATAGAAGTCCGTTCTAGAAGTGGCCATTCAGATGACAGCACATTGTTAGAAATTTGAGAGCATGCTTCTTGGGTAGTGGTGGTAGTTGTTACAAGTCTAAGATTGGATTATGCAGTCTTTTCCTTTAGGTAATAAGTGTCTATGGATATCTTGGTCCTTAGCTCATAGTATATCTTTGCCCTAAATAGAATATTTAATGCTAAAAAATTTTTAAGAAGAATATTTAATGCTTATTCTTATAATAATACGCTCCCATGGCATTGAAGTAGTATGGTTATTACCACATTCATCATAGCTTGGCAGCTTGGAGGAGATAGCTATAATTTTCTTTTTATAGTTTAGGCATGGGCCAAATGGAAAAAACATGGACCAATTGTTTTGTATATAACTATAACCCAAAACCAATTTGAAGGGTACAACCACTGAATCATTTAAATTGACAAAAAACATCTGTTCTACTATTTAAATGCTAGCTTTGATATCTATGCTTGCTTTATTTTTTTATGCTTACTTTAAAATAATATGCTATTTTATACTTTTTGTACTGTCTTCTCAAAGCCTGCTATTGAAAATGAAGAACTTCTTTATTATGTCCATGCTTTTTGAAAGCACTGTAAGACTAGAAAGAACCATTTCTAAGAAGGGCAAGGAGATAATAAAGGAGCCATAGCTTTTTCTTCTGAATGCTTTTATGAATTCCTTATTAATTTGTGTAATTCATGCTGTGCCTTTAGGTATTTACCAATGTAAAACTAATTTTCTAAAAGACTTTTTTTGTAAGAGGAAAACAGACTTCTAGTGTGTTTTGTCTAAGTGGCAGACTGGCTTGCTCTAGTGCAGTTGTTTTAAGTTAATAACAAGGGGAAATTGCTTCCACTGACAATTATGACCAGTCCCATCATTTGGATTAGTACATCTGTTAGCTGAATTTCATGACCTAAGGCTGAGTTTTAAAAATTTCAATTGTCTGGGGCGCCTGGGTGGCGCAATTGGCTGAGCGTCCAACTCTTGGTTTCCAACTAGGTCATGCATGATCTCAGGGTCGTGAGACTAAGACCCATGTTGGGCTTGGCTCTCAGCATGGAGTCTGCTTAAGTTTTTCTCTCCCTCTCCCTCTGCCCCTCCGTGGTGCACATGTGTGCACAAGCGTACTCTGTCAAATCTTTTAAAATATTTTAAACATTAAAAAATTCCAATTTGGGGGCACCTGGCTGGCTCAGTAGAGCATGCAACTCCATCTCAGGGTTGTAAATCTGAGCCCCACATTGGGTGTAGAAATTACTTAAAATCTTTAAAAATTCTAATTGGCAATTTTGTGGCCTGTTACACTTAAGTTATAAGAACTTGAATTCTGGAGGATCCCTGGATGGCTCAGGATAGCGCCTGCCTTTGCCTTCAGCCCACTGTGTGATCCTGGAGTCCTGGGGCAGAGTTCCATACTGGGCTCCCTGCATGGAGCCTGCTTCTCCCTCTGCCTGTGTCTCTGCCTCTGTGTGTGTGTCTCTCATGAATAAATAAATAAAATCTTTAAAAAAAAAAAAAAAAAGGACTCCCAATTCTCATTTCTTTTCCTCCATCTTGAAGCAGAGGAATATGGCCAGGACTTTCTGGAGAAAAAGGGAGTAGATAAGTAGCCAAGATGTTATGGACGCATATCATATGTATGACATGGGACATGTACCAATGAATCTATGTGGGAAACTAAGTACTAACCTACCAGCCTCTCCTCAATCTTTTTTTTTTTTTAGAAGGAGGTTTCTTTTTTTTTTTTTAATTTTTATTTATTTATTTATGATAGTCACAGAGAGAGAGAGAGGCAGAGACATAGGCAGAGGGAGAAGCAGGCTCCATGCACCGGGAGACCGACGTGGGATTCGATCCCGGGTCTCCAGGATCGCGCCCTGGGCCAAAGGCAGGCGCCAAACCGCTGTGCCACCCAGGGATCCCCCTCTCCTCAATCTTAATTTCAAATCCTCACTGATAGAATAACCCTATGACTAAGAGCTTTTCTCAACTTATGTCAAAAGAAAAATCTTAGCCACATTGCCCCAGGCTCCTCTGACAAACAACCAGTAAGTGGGCTGATTTTAAAACCTAACTGAGGGGGCTGCCTGGGTGGCTCAGCAGTTGGGCTTCTACCTTTGGCTCAGAGTGTGATCCTGGAGTCCCGGGATCGAGTCCCACATTGGGCTCCCTGCATGGAGTCTGCTTCTCCCTCTGCCTATGTCTCTGCCTCTGTGTGTGTGTGTCTCTCATGAATAAATAAATAAAATCTTAAAAATAAATTATAATAATAATAAAAACCTAACTGGGAATTCACATAAGTTACAGTAAATATAGATGAAAAATAAGCAGTATATGCATAAACAAGTTCAGAATCATACATTCTTCTCAGAAATCATACCGCAGTGTAAGAGCAAATCTAGATGAAACTAAGTAGTAAATCTAAAACTCAGAATCACACATTCTTTTCAAAAGTAACTTCCCAGTGTGAGTTAGTATATGGCTCCAAGACCTAACCCACTTCATTTGTCCAGGCACAGTGTTCCTTTCCTTCTGGGTGAGGGGAAGGAACTTGTCCCTCTTAAGTCCAAACAAAGAGAGACTGCAAGGTCACATACAGTGCTCAAGTCCTATGTTGGGTTGCTCTTCTATGAGGTTTGAACACAATATATTCCTTCAGTTATTCAGAGAAGAATTCTGAGCCTATGAGGCAAAGGGCAAGTTAATACCTTGTAGGGCTGCTTAGGGGGTTGGTGGCAATTTTATTTAAAAACACGTTGAACAAGGCTCAGCATGTACAAAATTCACATCATAGCTATTATGTTTATTATCATTCCTGGCTATTTGGAAGGCTCCTTTCTACTTCCCAAGGGCAACTGGTTTATGCAGTCCTTAAAGCACTCCCTTCCTATAATAAGGATGGACAGGAATTTGTCAAGCACAGAGCCTTTATTTTACATATCATTTCCAAAGAGGACATTGTGTAAGTCAGCAGCCAACAGAATTTGTAAGAGAGAAAGTGACAGCAAAGGTAACTGGCTCAAGTCCCTCTGTGTATACCATGTACATTTCACGTCTGAGCACCTTGTGTGTCTGGCTTAAGTAAGGCAGTGTAGATTGTGCGAACAAGAAATCTGTATTATGTGATCAGAAATGGCTACTACATGCATCACGCAAAATGCACAACCTGAAATGTTTTGATCTGCAACCAAAGTTTCCTCAAGCAAAGATGTGCGTAAACGATGAACACATACAGAGCAACTTGGTCAGAGAATGGATGATGCTGTGGGGCAGTGAGGTTAGCGCACTGATCAAGAGCCCCAAGCAGGAGGAGCCGTCCCAGTGGCAGAGCAGGCTGGGAGGGTGAGCAGCAGCCATCTCCAGCCACCTTGCGTTCTTTCCTGCCTTCACTCTAGGTTGAGCAGCTCCACGTCAAAGATGAGGGTGGCATTGGGAGGGATGACACCAGGGTGGCCCGTGGCTCCATACGCCACATCAGGGGTGCAGGTCAGCTTCGCCCTCTGCCCCAAGCTCATCTAGCAGGGATGGGGGCAGATGGGAAGAGGAGAAAGAGGACCCAGCTTGATTTAAAAGAAAAAAGTAAGATAACTATGGCATTTTCCCAAACCATCCTCAAGGTAACTCTGAAGATCTGAGATGATTTTTCTATGCTCACTTCATACTGAAGTGATGCAGAACTCAGATTCTGCCTCAGACCAGCAGAGACTTCACTGTAAGACAATAACATCCACAAAGTAGTCCCAAATTCATTCATGCAACAACCATTGCTGGTTATTCAATTAGCGCATGGCCCCAACACTTCAATTTGTTCATTATTGTTCCTGACTCTCTTCCAAAAGAACCTAAAGAGGGTGTATAGAGAGCGCATGTACTGTACACTTTCCAGGAGGTAACAAGAGCAGTCCATTAAAGACATGAAGCAATCAGAGGCCATCACAAGGTCGGGAAGGCTAAGAGAGCTACTCTAACAGAGCATCGTCTGTCCTCAGAGACCAAGGGAGAAGAGCATGAACCAGGGCTCATCCCAGCAGTCATCAACAACACCTGGCACTTGTGGGACAACTGGTGAGATTTGAATAAACCGATTTTTAAATTTTGAATAATAACCAACTCAAAAATTTGAATGGATCACTTAATAGTACTGTATCCATGTTAATGTGTAACTGATCACAAATTAATGTAATCTGATCATTGTACTATGGTTATATAAAATGTTAACATTTGGGGAAACTGGGTAAAGAATATATGGGAACTATTTCTGTGATATTTTTGCAAGTCTGAAATTGTTGGGGTTTTTTTAAGTTAAAAACAAACAAAAACAAAAAAACCACCTTGGCTTCCCCTATCCCGAGTCTCCTGCTGCGTCAGTCCCAGACAGCTGGTAGCTCACAGCCCTCTGAAGCTAGTTCTGAGCAGGCCTGGAGGGATGTGCATGGAATGAGAGACCCCAGTGACTTAAAGGGGTCATGCTGGCAATGAAAGGGAAGGGGTGGGGGGCACAAAGCCAAGGACTGAATCTCGATGGTGTAACCATGCCCCGGCAGTGGAGTCAAAGTGGCAGCGGTCTGTGATAGGTCAAGAGCAGCGTACTGAGTCCGGACTCTTGACTCCTCAAATCCCCCCTAATGATTAGAATTCCCATCCTACCTGGGCTGCACCCTCTTCAAAACCCTTGATGACTTCCTGTTTGCCAATTCTGAACTTGAAAGGTTTGTTTCTGTCTCTGGATGAATCGAATTTCTTCCCATTTTGGAGCATTCCTGTGAAAGCAAGAAGAGGATGGAGAAGAGCTGTGGTCATGAATTAACTCCCAGGTCTGGGTCCACATGTCTAAAATGGAATTCCTGTTCCGCACAAACCAGCGCCTCTTCTCATCTCTCCACCAGTCCTGTTGCCCAAGCAAGCAACCCGGGTACTTCTCTCTGCCTTACCCCACATACAGCCTATCACTAAATCCTCCATCATCTCTCTACCTCCTCCATTTCTACCGCCACCGGCCTGTGACTGTACCATATCACCATCACGTCTCACCTGTATGAGACATGTCTCACGCCCTCTAACTGGTCTTTCTACTTCACTCTCACTCCTCCATTCCAGTCTCCACACTATACCCAGAATGACTGTCTTTTGCAAACATATATAGGATCATATTACTCCCTTGCTTACAATACGTCAATAGCTCCCTGTGGCAGCTTCCAAATGCCTACACTGCACTTCAAGACCTGGAGACTGCCTGCCTGATAACCTCTCTCTGCTCTCCCCTGCCTTTCCTTCCCACCATGTCCTATTCAGGTCACACCTTTCTCAAATACCTCTGCACTGTACAACCTTTACTGGTTTTCACAAGGTCCCCCAACATGTAAAACCCAAAGGCCTTATCACCCCTCCCTGCAAAGAACAGTGCAAAGTGACCCAGTCATTGGTGGACCCCAGGAAAAGGGCCGGTTTGAACCAGGAACACTGATGCTGTCTCCCAACAGGGGAGCATCCCTGAGCTTCCAGGGGTAGTTGCTTTGTCATCCCTGAAGTACAAATCCTGTGTTATCCTTGCCGCCAAAGGCTCAAGAGCTGTGTTTCTGTTTTTAGTTCTTATTGGTGATTGGCTCAAAGATCAGACCTTCTGTAAACAATTGTCTTCCAAGGATTTCTCCCTGCAGCCCTCAGACCACAACAAAAGACAGTTTGAGACCACAGAAAGATCTGGCCTATAAGTTCAGAGATTGGATTCTGACTTCATTCTGGCACAAAGTTATTGTGTAAAGTTAGGCAAATCACTTCCTTTGTCATGGCCTCAGATTTGCCATGTTTGACATGGGAGGTCTGGATAAGTTTAGTGTCTGAGCATCTCTGACTCCACTTCCTAATTCCTACCATTTAAATGTATATAAGGGAGAGTCTCATTTTCTTGCTTTCTGGGTAGAATGAATTGGACTCTTGCCCTAGGTATGAAATCAAGCAAAGGAGAAAATCCTGTGGCTACACAGATGGATACTAAAGAGATCAAATACAAACTCGTGCACAAATACAGGTTGCTAAGATATTCAGACACACAGAGATACTCACGGGCACTTATGCACACACATTCAGAAGAAAAATCCTAATGGTGAAACAGATGCTAAGAAAATATTTAAGTCCACGAATCTACATCCATTCACACAGACACATACTTGGACAAATACACATATGGATAAGCACACACACACACTCCCTTTGAAGAGTGGCTTTCTCATTCCTCAATTTTTTCAGGTTTCATATGACTCAGTATACTTCAGACCATATACAGTTATCTACTGCTACAAGTTCAGCCAAAACCATGCAGCCCAGAAACAGACCCACATATATATGGTTACCTGATTCAACAAAGGTGTCACGGCATTGCAACAGATAAAGGATTTCTTTTTTAAGATTTTACTTATTTATTCATGAGAGACACACAGAGAGAGAGAGGCAGAGACATAGGCAGAGGGAGAAGTAGGCTCCTCACAGGGAGCCCGATGTGGGACTTGATCCCAGGACTCTGGTATCACACCCTGAGCCAAAGGCCGACACTCAACCGCTGAGCCATCAAGGCGTCCCAGGATGATTTTTTTCATTTTTTTAATTAATGTTGCTGGGTCAATTGCATATCCATATGGAGAAAAAAAATGAATCTTGACCCCTATTTTATGCACACACAAAAATCGATTCCAGAGGAATCACAGACTTAAATATGAAAAATAAAATAATAAAGCTTTACAAGATAATAAACAGAAGAATGTCTTCATGATTTAGGGGCAGACAAAGATTTCTGAGCTGAACACAAAAGTACTAACTATAAGGGAAAAGATCGATACATAGGACTTCATTAAAATTAAGAACTTCTATTAAAAAAATGCCATTAATAGAGTAAAAAGACAAGCCCTGGCATGGAAAGTGATTAGAATCAGTAGAGCTAACAAAAGACTCATATCCAGAATATATAAAGAATTCCTGGGGTGGCTGGGTGGCTCAGTCGGCTAAGTGGTTACACATCTGACTCCTGATTTCTGCTCAGGTCATGATCACAGTCATGATCTCAGGTCGTGATCTCAGGTGAGACTGAGCCCTGGGTCAGGCTCTGCTCTGGGTGTGAAGCCTGTTTTTAAGATTCTCTCTCTTCCTCTTCCCTTGCCCTTTCCTCCTCCTCCCCTTTCTCTCTCCCAAATAAATAAATAAATCTTAAAAAAAAAAAAAATATATATATATATATATATATATATATATATATATATATATATATTGAGTAAAGTAAGCCAAACCCAGAAGAATACATACTCTATGAGTCCATTTATATGATATTCAATAACAGGCCAACCCAATCGATGGAGACAAAAATGTGACTGCTGGTTACCTTCAGGGAGGTGTAATGACTTGGGGGAGGCATGAGGGAGATGCCTGCAGGTTCTGGAAGTGTGTTGATCTGGGTGGTGGTTACAGAAGTGTAATCACTTTGAAAAATTTCATGGAACTGGACATCTTGGATTTCTGTTCTCTACTGTATTTATATTTAATTTAAAAATTTACCAAAAAGTCCCATACTGTCTCTGGCTGGGTTTGATGAGATGATCCCCCTCCCCAAACCAGAGGCACTCATGGCTCTTAGTGTTTAACCCACATTGCCTGCTCTCTGTATCTACTATGAAAGTCTTTGTAAAAGGGTGTTGTGGTTTTAGTAACTTGATAAGTACGAGTCTGTCTACAACATGTAGAACAGATAAATCAATTACACAGGTCAGAGGCCCCAGAGGACTCATGGTAATTAGGCCACATCACCGGGAGATAAAACAGCTCTAGCGCCCTGACGTCAGCGACCCGCAACACAGCTGTTGAGAAATACCCACACTGTCTGCCTAGATTTAACCTGGCACTTCACACTGGCCCAGAGAACTGCTAAAAATGGCCCCATCTGAATACGTCCTAGGAATTAAACTGGCCTTGCTGTCTGCTAAGTGGCTGTCACCAACTTTGCCACATTGGGAAACAGGTCACAAGGCAGAGCACTCGCCCCTCTTGGAACAAATACCTGCTCGTGATCTTCCTGCCAGCAGTCCTCAGGAACTCCATCTAGAATGTTCCTCAGCCCACCTGATCTTCCAATACAGAGCATCCAAGAGGGATCAGCGAGATGTGGGCCCTCCTCCAATGCCCACAGCACCCTGAGACAGGCACTGCTGTCACCACCAGCCCCCTGGCTCTCACACTGCATCAGAGCCTCTGGATCACTGGTCTCCCCCACTTCTCACAGCCCCAAAGAAGGAAGGAATCCTCTCTATTCATCTGTGTGTCTCCAGTACCCAGCATAGCATCTTGCACACAGTAGGTGCTCAAAAAGAGTAGGAGAATCGGATAGTCTATTTTTGAAAAAAAAAAAAAAAAGAAAGAAAGAAAGAAAGAAATGCTGAGGAGACCAGGGGCCTCCTCTTCTCTAATAATATTGTAGGAGTAAAAAGGAGTCCGCAGGGAAGATCAAGTCTCTCGAAGTTTTAAGAAGGGATTTCTAAATATCAGACAGAACCAGGAAGGCCGGGCTCCATGCTGCCCACAACAGAGGGAAGAGAATGGAGGTGGCTGGCTCAGTTAGAGGCTAGCTCCAAGGATGGTACAAGTGTGGAAGGGGTAATCTTGCAAGCCTCCTTTCCCATGCCCACAAGACTGACTTGAGAAGTGGGGGACAGCCGGTCAGAGGGAGACGGCTCTCTTAGGGTTTGGGCCTGATCCAGGGAGCAAATATCTCTGGAGGGGAGTATCAGAAGAGGGACCTCTTTGGGAGGGGCAGGTCTGGGTGAAGTCTGAGGGAGCAAAGCCTACCTGTGTAGTGCACCACACACGTCTGTCCCTTCTTGGGGAATGTCCTTCCTGCAAGGAGACATGAGGGCAGATGAATGAATAAGGTATTGGAAAAAGTCACCTGGAACATTCAGCCCAGAGGTCTGGCCCACATTCCCCTCCACACCAAGGAGATGCCCATGGTGCTAGTTCTGGCTCTGTGCCTTGTATGAGCCAGATCAGTCACTTCACCTCTTTTTTTTTTTAATTTTTTTAAATTTATTTATGATAGAGAGAGAGAGAGAGAGAGGCAGAGACATAGGCAGAGGGAGAAGCAGGCTCCATGCACCGAGAGCCCGACATGGGATCTGATCCTGGGTCTCCAGGATCGCGCCCTGGGCCGAAGGCAGGCGCCAAACCGCTGCGCCACCCAGGGATCCCTACTTCACCTCTCTTTATGTGATTTGAATTTTATTCCCTTGGGTTCCTCAGTTCCACTCTCCTCATTATTCTCCTTTCTTTGATTGCTCTTTTTACTTTCCTTCATCCATTCCACAAACATTTACTGGACTAGATTCCAGAAACACAGAGCAATCTATGAACTCATGGTGAAGTCAGGGAAAGAGACACATAAATAAATGATAGATTATAATGCAGGATAATGACTGCAATCAAGGATTAATAAGCATACTCATTCACAAATATTTACAGAGTACCTACTATATATAAAGCCTGGGCCTGATTTACAGTAGTAAATCAAACAGACAAGATACCTACTCCTTTGGAGTTACATTCTAATAGAGGGAAACAAACAGGACTCAAATAAACAAGACAATTATAAACTATAATAATTCTCTAAAGGAAATAGACACAATGACAAGTTAAAGAGAGACACACAATGAGGGTGCCCGGGTGGCTCAGTTGGTTAAGCATCTGCCTTGGGCTCAGGTCATGACCCCAGGGTCCTGAGATTGAGTCCTACATCATCAGGCTCTCTGCTCAGCGGGGAGTCTGCTTCTCCCTCTGCCATCCCGACTCCCACTCCGCCCCATGCGCTCACGCTCATTCTCTCTCTCTCTCTCTGTCAAATAAATAAAATCTTTAAATAGAGAGAATAAGGGAGAGAGACACAATGGACAGACCACTTTAGAAAGGACCATCCAGGATGGCCTCCAAAAAAAGGTGACATTTGGGCTGGATCTTGAAGGATGAGCAAAATGCTGGGAAAAGCACTGCAGGAAGAGGCAGCTGCAAGTGCATAGACCTTGAGGTAGGAATGGATTGGAGCATTTGCAGAATAGAAAGAAGGCTGGGTGACGGGAAAGAAGGGAGGGAGAAGGAGACAAGTAGGAAAGAGCAGGATCATGCAGATCATGCCAGACATTGGACATCGTGGAGCTGGATTTAACTCCAAGCGCAATAGGAAGGCACTGGAGAGTTTTAAGCAAGATGATGACATAATCTGAATTAAGATTTTATAAGATCACTCTGGCTGCTGCCTGTAGGATGGACGATTAGGCGCCTGTTGCAATAATCCAGACAGGAAATCAATTATGGCTTGAATTAACGTGGTGGCAGCAGAGAAGAGAGCAAAATAGATACGTTTGGGAAACGGGGCTGACAGAGTACATTAATGGAATGGAGATGGGGTCCAGGAGGAGGGACAAGGAGAAATCAAGTACAATGCTTGGGTTTTCAGTTTGGGCAATTGGACGTATGGTGGAACGAACTAATTCCAGGTGGGGAAGACTGGGGAGGAGCAGATTTGAGCAGTTGGCAGTCTTGAAATGCCTATTAGACATCTGAGTTTATATTGCAAGTAGGCAGATGGAGGGTCTGCACTGGAGGTATAAATCTGGGTGGAATTTAAAGCCATAGGCCTGGATAACAAAGCTTTTGGAGGCAAACAAGTGAGCCAACATGTAGAGGACTCTATGGGAGCCCAGGAAAGCATCAGAGAGGAGATAAGGGTTAAACTGGATCTTAAAAGATGACTAGTTTGCCAGAGGAAGTTAAAGGAGATAATCTGGGAAGAACTGATGACACATTCAAAGGCCTGGAGTCTAGCACTAGTGGGATCCCTGTCTGGCTCACTGCTGTTAACCCCAGGGCCTAGCACATAGTACATGTTCAATAAATATTTGCAGAATGACTGATGTGTTTTAACAACTTTGCAGGAAGCTTGCTGAAGCTACAGAAAAAGGTGGTAGTGGGGGTAGGGGCTGTAGTAAGAGCCTGCCCTAGTGTGGAAGGTAAGACCAGGCTAGATTACTATCTGTCTGAGAAGGAAATGGAAGATTCATTAAAGCACAAGGCACGGGGATAAGGTAGGAGGGGAGCAGAAGGGAATGGGAACCTAAAATAGGCATTTTAAAGACTCCTCAGGCTATGGTGTGGAAAATAGGTAGTGAGTTAGGGAGGCCAGATGGAAGGCAGAGAGGTCAGACTGGACGTGTGGAGATCAATGTAGAGGATGTGCAGAAAGCCCGATGAGAGACCATCATCTGAACCAGGGCAGGGGCTAAACGGATGGAGCCTAGAGAATTTCAGCAGAAGGACCAAGTCCTACCAGACTTGCTGCGGGGCTTCACTTAGAATGGTGTCCCCAGCCTAACAATACAGTAGCTTGGCCCTTCTATGCCTTCTTGACTCAAGGGTTTAGCCTGTTAAAGCAGAAGGCCAAGGTTTTTTCAGGCTTTCTCGAAAAATCTAATCTCCCTCAAAAAAAAAAAAAAAATGGTCCTTGTCCTTGGCCAGAAAGGGAGGATAAGCAGAGAAAACTCTAAAGGCTACTTTGAGTCAGGGAAAATGGAAGAGGCCTCCAGCTCCCTGGGAGATCTCAATGGCAATTTCCCTGGGGTGTGACAAGGTCTCAGAGAGATACTTCCTGGGACCCAGCACTATCGTTCTCAGTGGGGGCAGAGAAGCCTGTACCTGCAGGGTGACAGGGATCCGGACTGGGACTGCCTTTTAACAAGGAGGGTGGGGATCCCTGGGTGGTGCAGCGGTTTGGCGCCTGCCTTTGGCCCAGGGTGGGATCCTGGAGACCCGGGATCAAATCCCACGTCGGGCTCCCGGTGCATGGAGCCTGCTTCTCCCTCTGCCTGTGTCTCTACCTCTCTCTCTCTCTCTCTCTCTGTGACTATCATAAATAAATAAAAATTTAAAAAAAAATTAAAAAAAAAATAACAAGGAGGGTGGCCTAGAACCAAGAGGTCTTCCAATTTCCTAGAGAGGGTGGGGGTTGTCAGACATGTCTCACATGAAGTTTGTCTGTCAAATTCTGCAGAAACGGGGGCTCTGGACTGGATTAAGTGTCATTTAAAATTTTTTTAAATAAGCTATCCCTTGCACATCCAGACCCAATTATACAAGAGATGTCTGGCTGGGGAAAGTGAGTGGTGCCGCTCCTGGCTGGGGGGGCGGGGGGGCAGGGAAAGGGGAAATACAGAGGAGTGCTTGGGCGTGGGGAGGACAAGGAGCATGAGTTGTTTTGGACTCGCTGAATCAGGTTTCCATGGGACATCCAGGTAGAGGTCGGGCAGCAGCTGGATAAAGGGGTCGGAGATCTGGGCTGGAGGCTTAAGTTTGGAGGCCATCGGTTTGCAGACGGTAATGAAAGCCATGGGAGTGTGCAGGATGGCTGGAGAGGCGGAGCGGGGCGGGGAGGATAAAGCAAGATGCAGAGGCGGCGGAGGGAGCGCTTCTTCCTCCCAGACGGGCTCGGGGCCCCCACAACGTCTCCCCGCCCAGCCCACGGGGGCCGCGGGAGCCGAGGCCCTCAGGGGGGCGCGTTGGAAAGGAAAAGGGTCGCCCCAAGAAGGGAACCCTTCCAGCGGTCCCCGGAGCTCACCTAGCAGGGCAGGGAGAGCAGAGCCCAACCCCTGCCCCGGGAAATTGGCAGCAGCAGACAGCCGAGGGGTTGCGGCGGCGGCGGCGGCGGCGGCGGCGCCCGAGGCCCCCGGGGCGGTGGCGGGCCGCAGACCCCCGCCTCGGCCGCCGCCTCCGATCCCCTAGGTGAGCCGGCGCGGGAGCGGAGGGCGGAGGACCGTCCGCCAGACCTGCAACAGTCCCGCCTGGGGGCTCCCCGCGCCGCCCGGTCCTGCGCCCGCCCCCGCCCCCGCCCCGGCCCCCGCCCCGCGTCGGCACCCTCCGCGCCCCCTCTGCCTCGACCCCCGCCCGCCCGGCTCCGCCCCGGGACCCTTCCTCCTCCCCCGGCTCCGCCGCCCGGTACCGTCTCCCGGGGAGATGGTCTCGATCTCCACGCCCATCGCAGTCCCACTGGCCCCGCCTCTGAGGGTCCCCGCTGCGGCCCCGACCCCGGCTCGGCTCCGGCCCCGGCCCCGCTGCGCTCCGGCTCGCCGCCCCGCCGCCACTGCAGAGCCGGAGGAGGTGCGGCGGGAGTCGGGACCTGCGCGGGGAGGGGCCACGGGGAAGGGGGCGGCGGGGCGGAGCGGGGCGGCGCGGAAAGGTGGGGTCGGCTGGGGCGGGGCCCGGGGAAGGGACCCCGGCGCGGCGGCTCCCGGGCCTGGCCGGGCCGACGCTCATTAGCTGGGGGGGGCGGTGGGGGAGGCAGAGGCCCCCGCGCATCTACGCATCCGTCCGTGTAGCCACCCCTCTCTGCATCCACTCGTCACAGATTTATCTGGCGTCTACTCTGTGCTAAGCTCTGGGGAGTCAACCCGGTCCCACCGACTAGGGGAAAGCCAGCAACTAAACCGACACTTTAAAGAGAGGCGCTCGCTCACTGCCCTGGAGTTCAGGACGTTAGGGAAGCACCCGAGAGGGTACTCGCCCTGGCTCGGCTGCCCGGACTGCAGGAGCAGTCGGGGGGTGCGCGCGGGCGGGGGGAGGGGGCGGGGGGGGGGAAGGAGGGAACCGGTCATTACCCCACTGCGATCTCCCCAAAGCCCTGGTCGCCGCCGCCCCGCGTAGTTCTCCAGCACTCACAGGTAGATTCCCACCTTCGAGGCAAAGAACAGAGCCCTGAGGATACCAATTTAATTAAAGCAGAATCGCTGTCGTCAAAGAATGAAATTTTGTGACGGGTGGGGACAGGGAGAGTTAGTTAGGGCGTGGAGTGATTCGTGCTGTGGAATGAATGAATAAATTAGACCTTGAGCTCCTCTTCCACGCTAGACCCTTCACCTCCACCCAAAAGAGTTCCAGGAATCTAGAAAAACATCTCTGGAGGAGAGGACATTTGCTTGAAGAGTGAATGGAACTTTATTCTTTCCCCCTCTCTTTTTGTCTCATCTTTCCCTGCATTGTTCTAAAAATTGACGTGAAAGCATGGTTCTGACCAGTGGCACTGGACTATAGGCACGAGGAGAAAAGCCTGAGCAAAGGCACCCAGAGTGGACCCTAGAAATGTTCTTCTTCCACCCCCACCCCCAAGGCTCCCAGGTGGTTAGGTCAGACTTGAGGATATCAGCATCGCTGAAGGAGCACTGGCTGTTTTGTTCAAGAAAGTTGATGGCCACCTGTACTATGAGGGTCAGCATCCGAAATTCCCCATGGACTGCTTCACGGCGTGGCCCAGGGTCTCCCAGGTATGCAGCTAGTCTAAAATCTAGTGATGCACTGGGTCCTTCCTTGGACTATGGTCCATGGGGAGGCACTCTTGAGGAAAGTGTAGGACAGGGGTTTGTAACTCGGATAGGTCCAGGAGCAGCTTCAGTTGAATGCACAATATTTAGGATACGGATAAGTACATTTTTCTGGGGGGGGGGAGATTTTTATCACATTTTAAAGAAGTGATACCATCCTACCTCCTGACCCCATTCCCCGCCCGCCTCCCCCCACCCCCGAAAAAAGTTAAGAAACCGTGTAGACTCTAGGAATCCTGTACTCTTTCTTAGGCTCAGAAAATCGAGGGGAAGTGGGGGAAGGCTCTACCCTTCAGGGAGGGCGAATGTGTGGCTGGTTTACTGTAGATGGAGTTTTACAGAAACTACTACTCCCAGAGATCCATGCAGCGAAGCCCGAGCTTATTGGTCAAAGGGAAGGACCCTCCCCTAACGTGGCACAAGTAAGAGCCAATAGACAGAGGGCATTGTGGGACTTGCCCGGCTACCGCTGTCCTATCAGAAGCCTGGGGGGCGGTGCTTCCGGTCCTCGCTCCGGGCTCGGGGTCCCGCGGCAGCCGGGAGTCTTATTTTCTGTGGGCAGGCAGTAATTCCGAAGGTATTTTGTCTCCGCAGCTGCCCAGCTTAGCTGGTGTCGGGAGGCTGAGGGTGGGCCCGGAGGGAGGTGGAGGGACCGGCGCTTGCTGGGGAGTGGGCTGGGCCCAGGTGTGCCGAGAGGATGGGGAGAAAGGGAGGAGGAGGCGCGCGGGGTCCCCGGCGGCGGAGGAGGACCGCGGTGGGGGGGGGTTAAGGGTTTGATGTGTTCCACGTGACTCGCTAGTGACACTTCTGGGACTAGGTCCCAAGGCAGCCACCCGGGGTGAAGAACGTGCTTTATGCATAAAGAGCCTTATCACAGCGTCACGTACAAGAAGGTAAAGTTGGCTTTAAAGCCTCAAAGCCAGGTATCTCCACAGTGAGGAAAAATTATGCGCCTTCGCGGAGTGGATATGATTAAGCGGCTTCTAAAAATATTTATAGAATTTAAATGGCATGGGAAATCGCTAATATATAAGTGAAAAAGATCGTGATGTGAGATTGGACAGTATGGTTGGAAAATGTAATCATTTTCCATAGAAAAAAAGCCCCAGAGGGATTTTTATTTATTTATTTATTTTTTGCCGTTGGATGAATATGCTTTTTAGGAATTTGCTTTTTTGCCTTTCTCCTGTGTTGACTAAAAAGAAAAAAAGTGTAAAGCACTTGAAATTATTTTATAGTGGAAACACAATAAACAGAAAAACAAGTTGGAGGTTGTGTAACTCTGTTTAAACCTACTGGAGGGGGACCCCTGGGTGGCTCAGCGGTTAGCGCTGCCTTTGGCCCAGGGCATGATCCTGGGGTCCCGGGGTCGAATCCGGCACCGGGCTCCCTGCATGGAGCCTGCTTCTCCCTCTGCCTGTGTCTCTGCCTCCCTTTCTCTGTGTGTCTCTCATGAATGAATGAATGAATGAATGAATAAAATAAAATAAAAAATAACCCTACTGGAAGTGGTCCAGTTCTCCTAAGCGCCTTAATTCTCACCGTGAGTTGTCTTGAAAACAAGAATTAAATGGCCATAGGCTGAGTACCAGGTCCTGGTTCTGGCCTTCTCTTCCCTGAAGTAATAAAACAGTGAACTTTTCTTTCCCTAAAACTCCCTGAAATCTTATAGTCACAAGGATACAGTTAGCATCAGGGACAATTTAAATATTTTTTAATATACAGAATAATTGGGGAACGTCTGAAGGCTATTTTAACTTTTGTCCTCTTGGCTCTGATCTTTCACAGCCAGGGTGTCCACTGCTTTGGTTTTAATTACCTACATTATGACAGTGACTTCCAAACCCTTAACCTCTGACTGCCTAAGGTACATTGCTACCCTATAGATATCTTAGATGAAGCAGGTCTTTTTTTTTTTTTTTAAGATTTTTATTTATTTATTCATGAGAGACACAGAGAGAGAGAGAGGCAGAGACACAGGCAGAGGGAGGAGCAGGCTCCATGCAGAGAGCCCGATGTGGGACTCCATCCCAGGTCTTCAGAATCAGGCCCTGGGCCAAAGGCAGGCACTAAACCACTGAGCCACCAGGGCTGCCCACATGAAGCAGATCTAATACAAAATTTATCACACTGCACACCCTTCCTACCTTTGAAGCACACTCTACCCTATATATCTCTGATTAATGGTTCAACAATTTTTTTAAGATTTTATTTATTTATTCATGAGAGAGGCAGAGACATGGCAGAGGGAGAAGCAGGCTCCTTATGGGGAAACTGATGCGAGACTGGATCCCAGCCCCCTCGGGATCATGACCTGAGCCAAAGGCAGACATTCAACCACCGAGCCACCCAAATGTCCCTCAACAGTTTCTTTTTTTTTAATTAATTAATTTATTTATTTATGATAGTCACAGAGAGAGAGAGAGAGGCAGAGACACAGGCAGAGGGAGAAGCAGGCTCCATCCACCGGGAGCCTGACGTGGGAATCGATCCCTGGTCTCCAGGATTGCGCCCTGGGCCAAAGGCAGGCGCCAAACCGCCAAACCGCTGCGCCACCAGGGATCCCTCCCTCAACAATTTCACGTCTCCTTTCTTCCTCACCACTCTTATCTTACCTGATACCATTATCTGTCCCATTTGCCTTAGAAATATCTCTTGAATCAGGCCCTCTTTCTCTACTGAAGTAGCTACAAACTTGTCTCACTGTGACATTCAAACTATCTCATGCCCCTATTAAACTTATCAGCCTTCTTTCTCAGGTCCATCCTGCACATTATCACATGAATGTATGGTAGTTCTTCCAAATTCCTCAGCAGCCCCTTTATGCTCAGGGAAACAAGGTTGGAAAGGTATGTTGATCTCAAAAAATAGAAGGCCTGAAATACCTTGCTAAGACATTTTGAAGGAACTTTTTTTATATATGTAGACTGTAGAGATAGTATTTAGCAGAAGAACAAAATGACCATAGCTGTAATTTTTTTTTAGATGATTCTGCCCTGGGGCACCTGGATAGCACAGTCATTTCAGCCTCTGACTCTTGATTTGAGCTCAGTCATGATCTCATGGGTCATTGGATCAAGCCCCCTCCCTCAGGGGACCCCCCCCCTGCACTCAGTGAGGAGTCTGCTTGAAAATTCTCTCCCTCTATCCCTACCCCCCATCTCGTGCACATGGAAACACATACACTCTCCCTCTCAAATAAATAAATCTAAAGAACACAAAGATTTTGCCCAATCACATAGAGCATCCAGGCTCTGTGGGAAAAACGAGACTGGTGTCCAGAGGACCTCTCCTTGACCTACCCTACTTAAAAGGGAGAGATGATCAAGACCTGAACTAGCAGTAGAGTACAAAGGTTTGGAACTGAGTTTTGTAATTTTTGTTAGGTTTTTGAGAAAATATGCCAAATTCTTCTTGTTTCTGAGGATGAAAATACTAAAATTGATTCTTCTAAAAATCTCAGTTAAGTTATTATATTTGTTTTTGTCTTATTTACAAATCCTTACCCTATGCTACCCCTGGCCTTATATACCCTCAGTAATATTAGACTGACTTGGGTGGCCTAAAACATATCATATAAATTGCCTTTGATATAATTGGCCCATTAGGAATTTTCTCTGCCTGGGAAAATGTATCATGCATTATTTATCAATAAAAGTCTTTTAAAAGTGCATAAGTAGATATTAGAGGAAAACATATATTATCTTATATAAGACCAGTGAGTTAGAGATGGCAGTTTTCTTCATTAGTAATGACAGGTGACTTATTTCTCCATTTACCAAGCCAGCACAGACCCACTTAATCTGACATCATGTGTGGAAGCATAATAGACCATTCCTTCTTAGTAAAAGGTTCTACAAGCTAGGACAAGGCTAGCAAAGACTATGAGAAATAAGCTGCAGATAAGTTAAAAGCCAATCACCGGGCAGTTTGGTAGAGAACACATTTTTTTTTTTAAATGTTTCTTTATTTAAGAGAAAGCATAAGTGGGAGCAGAGGGAGAGAGAATCTCAAGCAGACTCCTCATTGTGCACAGAGCCTGACAGGCTTGATCCCAGGACCCTGAGATCACCACTTGAGCCGAAACCAAGAGTCAGACGCTTAACCAACTAGCACCCAGGTGCCCAGTAGGGAATACATTTCTGTGGATTTAGAGACTTCTCAACGGCGACTTTTCAAGTTCTGTCTTTGACACTACATACTACTCAGTAAAGAATGGTTAAAAAATGTCCATTGGGTTCTGTGGCATAGATGGCACTGGTGACTTGGTGAAAGCTATTTCAAAAAGGTGGCAATAGGGTCAATTTGGAGTGGGTTAAGAAGAGAGTGGTGAGGAGGTGCCTGGCTGGTTTAGTCAGTGGAGTCTTCGACTCTTGATCTCTGGGTCATGAGTTCAAGCCTCACCTTGGGTGTAGAGATTACTTTTTAAAAAGTGGTGTGGGCAGCCCAGGTGGCTCAGCGGTTTAGCACCACCTTCAGCCCAGGGTGTGATCCTGGAGACCCGGGATCAAGTCCCGTGTAGGGCTCCCTGCATGGAGCCTGCTTCTCCTGCTGCCTGTGTCTCTGCCTCTCTCTCTCTCTCGCTCTCGCTCTCTCGCTCTCTCTCTCTCCTGAATAAATAAAATCTTAAAAAAAAAAAGTGGTGAAAGAATGGACACTGCAAGTTCAGACAATTCTTTGTTTACTAGTAAGATTAAACATCACTATAAATATGTTTATTGATGGGAATCCCTGTGTGGCTTAGCGGTTTAGTGCCTGCCTTCAGCCCAGGGCATGATCCTGGAGTCCCAGGATTGAGTCCCGCATCGGACTCCCTGCATGGAGCTTGCTTCTCCCTCTGCCTATGTCTCTGCCTCTCTCTCTCTCTCTCTGTCTCTCATGAATAAATAAATAGAATCTTTAAAAATAAATAAATCTTCCTTTCAATCACAAAAAGGCCATTTGAATACATGTTTATTATAAAACTTTTTTTTTTTTCAAAAAATACAGAAAAAGAGAGTCCCATCTTAGCTCGTACAACACCCCCACTCCATTTTAATTACCAATCTTGAACACTTTCGGTGTGAATCATTCCTGATTTTTGTCTGCATCTTTTTTTTTTAATTTTTATTTATTTATGATAGTCACAGAGAGAGAGAGAGAGAGAGAGAGAGAGAGAGAGAGAGAGAGAGAGAGAGAGAGGCAGAGACATAGGCAGAGGGAGAAGCAGGCTCCATGCACCGGGAGCCCGATGTGGGATTCGATCCTGGGTGTCCAGGATCACGCCCTAGGCCAAAGGCAGGCGCAGCTGGGTCTCCAGGATCACACCCTAGGCCAAAGGCAGGCGCCAAACTGCTGCGCCACCCAGGGATCCCTTGTCTGCATCTTTATGTAAATATATACAAGTACCCATGTTTAGGGTTTTTTTTTTTTTCCCTCTATAGAAAGAATATAGATGAAAAAAAAACTATTTGAAAACCTTAAAAAGGAGATCCTTTATTTTGTTTGTTTGTTTAAAGATTTTATTTATTTGACAGAGAGAGTGAGTGAGAGAGAGACCACAAGCCTGCGGGAGGGTCAGAGGGAGAGGGAGAAGTC